TTGGAAGCAAGGCAGAGTGTATCACACCACGTTTTTTGATAGGATTCCCCATGGTGATTAAGTGTTTTACGCCATTATTTTAGTGCAAGGCTATCACGAAGGTGCTACGTTTCACACATGACTTGTCGGTGGTAGTTTCCTCATCGGGGCGATGGTGCTACGTGGCCAAATTTTTTAAATTTGGACCATGACACCAGCACATGACACGGGCGCACAATTAGTGGTAAATATACTTGCAATATTTACCAGGGCGCCTTGCTGGACTCGAACCGCAAACTTTTGCAACAAGCGGCAAACGCGGTACCGCTGGGCTCATGTCGCCATTATTTACAGATGTTAAAAGACTCACGTATTTCTTAATAAACATGTATTATTACAATCACTATATGTTTATGAAATCATCCTAGTAATGAGTAATTGGCTGATTCACACACTCTTATTGTTTTGCCCCGAGAGGGATTTTGGTTGTGAAGCCCCCCCCCCCTCCCCGCCGCTGCCCCCTATGCCCGCCCCCCCGCTCACCGCTACCCACTCGTGCCGTCTCAGTCAAATCAAGTAGCTTTAGTCCACAGTTGTCAAGTGTCACGGAATTAAAAGAACAAAACGAAAGAGACGCTGCCCTTTTTTTAAATCACAAGCGCAAGCCAATGTCTGTAGGAAAGGGCAGAGGCCAAATAGGAGGGGTGGGGTCTCAAAAGAAAAGGGGCAGGGCTTTAAGATAAAAAGGGTGCAGGGTCCGAGTGGGATGGTGTGGGACTACAAAGGAAGGGGTGGAGCCTGAAGAGGATGGGTGGGGCCTAAACAGGAAGGGGCGGGGCCTAAACAGGAAGGAGTAGGGCCTAAACAGGAAGGTGTGGGGCCTAAAGAGGAGGGGAGACATGGCCTTAAGAGGAGGGGAACGGGGAAAAAATACTCAAATCTGCATATAGAGGAGCACTTCAACAATGATCTTCCCTTTTGATGTAAGGAAATTAAAGCGTGGAATCAATAAGTGCAGCAGGCAGCAAAAAGCTAATGTGGCCGACTTGTCTATATACGGCAGATGCATGCCCACCATACAATCTACATTCACCAGGGGATAAGCACATCAATTCGAGGTAGGATTTTCACATTACAATGAATCATTGAGGAGAGTATTGTTACCTCTGTACAGTTTTTTTGTATTGCAGCGGCCTTTTTAAGTATTTGAAATGTGTTGAAAAAAACCAGTTCGAACTTGTAACTGATCAAATCTTTTCTAGTTGATTTTTTTTTTTAAACCGTTCCACATGATGGAACAGGAACACTGTTTACAAGTTTTGAAGATTTTAAGAAATCCTGTAAACCCTTAGCAAACACTACTCTCATATTTATTTTTGGGGGGGGTGTGGGGAGGTGATTTTTATTTTTAAGTAAATATAACCTAAAGCAAGACCATTGAAGCAATCTGGTATGTTTGGTAACTGCTGATAGAGTAGCATTTATAGAGAATATTCTAACTTATCCTATCTTAATAAAGGTATCACACTACTGCAAACCCACTGCTTGAATGACTGGGGAAGTGTTCCAAAACCATTAGTTCTCACGAAAGGGCAACTTTAAATTGGATATACAGACCTTCATGACCACGGTCGGCTACTACGTACCGTGCGAAAGAAATTCAACGTACATGTAGAAGCCCGAGACAATGAAGTGCTGTGTGCATGTTATTCTGTCAACAAATTGCTCCTTTGTCACATAGCTAGTACATGTGTCCTATGCACGCAGGGCATTTTGGGCTTTGTCAAACACATTATATTGTCCATTACACACTGAATATTCTGTGTCATTAGTGCGGGCATTTGTGCGAGCTGAGTGTTGTTGAGTCAGACCTGACAATTTGCTTTTGGCAGTGAGGCCACGCGCTGTTCAAGAACAAAGCTACAGGTGTGGGTTACTTAGTCAATGGCACCACACAGTCTTAATGGGACCAACAGTCAGTGCATATCTACTGAATCTAAACTGCTTCCAAAACCACTGCTACACAGTCCAGGCAGCCTTATGCTGATTATTTATTTCAGTGAGTGCCCAAATTAATCGTATGAAATCCTATTGCTTTAAAATATATATATATTTTGTCACAGGAAAATTGCAGCCACTCGCTCTTTCGGGGACATTGAGCAATTTTCAAAACCTGGCTTTTGTGTATGATACAGGCACACACTGGATTATTCATGTCAATTAAGTCACAAGGTCTTTAACGTAATTTTTTACTTCTTAGGTAATTACACGTAGAATTACCAAAAATTGTTCCGTCATATTCAACCAATTGACCTGGACTTTCCCATTGGAGAACACTCTGGATAGACCACCGGCTCACCTTGCCACTGAAGTTCGAAATTAATTTTGTAATTACGTGTGAAAGCATTATCTGAAATGGCCAATGTCACAATTTCTAATAAAAAATAATGAGCATGCTAATATTAAAGGATGGAAGTTTTACACGCCTGATGAGGTGATAGTGACTAAAACGAAACTACATTTATTTATTTTACCAAGTAAGGCCCACTGAGCTATTTAGCTCTTTTTCAGAAGCGACCTGGCCACAAATTATAGCTCGGCGAAGTGGCTTATCGCGTGGAAATTTAAAGCAGCCAAATACTGGAAACGCACGTGTCACTGCCTGTCGCGATGGCTACTACTGCTTTTACACAAAGCAAATGTATGGATCCTGGTCCGGTATTTTACCATGTATGGCACTCCCACATTTTGACAGCATTTCTTGTTCCCGGGCAAAGAAGTGGAGGAGGGGTGGGGGGGGAATGAAAAGCCAAAGGGGGAGAAAAAAATTTGCTCATGTAACTGATAGGAGCCATTAAGGAGTGACTGCAGAGAGAGAACCCGCTTGCCTCGCTGTTTGTGAGAAATGGGGAGGTGCTGAAGTTGCTGAGGGTGCTACCATAAGCTGGGCACACTGGGGGGTGGGGGGGGGGTGAACTGGGCCATCTCATCCATTCCCTCCCCACTGCAGCACAGCCCCTGCGGGGGACTGTCTGTGCTGTCACATTAAGTTATGTCACTTGTATGGACGAGGTAGAACCTGGTCTCGCTTAGAGGAGAGGGGACAGTGCCTTGTTGCTGTGTGTTGTGCGGAGGTGAAACACCATGATAGTCGCCTTCAGCAGCCATGGCTTCGGTAAGCCTCCTCCTCCCTCCTTCTCTGCCGCCGTAAGTTTCTCTTGCAGAGTTTTAAAAAAATGTTCGTCGGATCACTTTTGTGGAAATAGACAATGAGCGGATCGATTTTTCCGGAGGATTTTTTTTTCCCTTTGGATAAATGTTTTCTGTCGTGTGATTGCTGTTCAACTCTTGTCCTTATTGTTGGTGGTTGGACTGCCTCAATACAGTAACTCTTCCTCTGCTCTGAAACCAAATGACAAACAGTTGTGGTGGTGGATATTATTACTTTTTATTTACTGTATTTTGTGGGCATGTGTCTGCTGTATAAAAATAATGCCCGACTTTCGATGACCGATGGCAAATTTGCCAACGTTGGCCGATCGTGTCATATTTACGACGAAGTGGCCTTAGCCATCGGCACAGAGATTTCGTTGCTGAGCAGCTCGCCGCGAGAGAGCTTGTGTGTAAATCGCCGTGAATCACACGCACAGGGGCGCACAGTGAGGAGGGGACCCGCTCGCACAAAGGCCGCCCGTGTCCTCTTCGTTGCTTTCTTTATCTGTAGTAATTAAGTGGGGGGGAAATGTCAGATATTGCGTGTGCAGCGTCAGTCCGCGTCTGTGGCAGCGAGTGCGGCACTCCGAGCCGAGCGCGACGTAACTCCAGCAGTGGCTTCGTGCTGACCGTGGTGCAGGCGGCGTCACTCGGCAAGCCCCGCGCACGTTCAATTTTTCCCCCTCCCACTGTGCACGTGTCCTCCGCACCGGCGGTGTGCGTGGCCTGTGGCCAGGGTACCCCCTTTTGTAGATAGGATGCACAATGCTTAGAGGCCTGTGCCAGCCAAAACCTCAAGTCTGCCCACACTGATGAGCTCATGAATGGAACAAGATCCTCATGAGTCTCATGAGGGCCCTCGTCACTGACAGCCAAAGCAGTCAGCTGCATAAAAGCCCCAAGGGGATTTGGGGACTGAAGGGTTTAGACCCTCAGGCATGAGTGAGGAGCTCAAAATACCCCCTTGGCTTAGAACCCAGTTTGTCCTTGATTCTGGGCTTCCACCATAAATTGCAAATTCAGCCACTGTTTTGTTTATTTAAGTATGCCTATTTAATACCGCCAATGTGTGTAGTCCGCAGCTTGATATAGAAGTTTCAGACTGGGTATTACAAAAGGTGGATGTGTCTATAGATGTGTGTTTGTGTGCGTGGAGCGCTAGTGCTGTCATTTTCATGATGCATTATGATCCGACTGCATTTACTTTTCGACCATGTATAACAAATGACATGTGATATCTGCACTTGGCCTGGGGTTCTTTTAGTTTAACTTAGCCATAAATAAGAACCTGCTGCAGTGTGTAAAAACAGCAACGGTTTGGCCCACAACACCCCGATCTTGTGCTATGTCAGCCTTAGCATGTGCTCACTAACATTTCGTAGTATAGTAGACACCCCTCTTAACGACGGTAATTGGTTCCACGAAACCGGTCGTTAAGTGATTTGGTTGTTATTTAATATAGGAAATACACGTTAAAGGCTTAAATTGTTCCGATAGCATCGAAAATTACAGTTTTTCACCCAAAAAACGCAGTTAGAATATTTTAACAATGGATATTAATACATAAAGATACTAACAACATTATAAACACACAATATTAAAAGAAACATGGTTAATCAATGCCTTAATTAACCTACAACAGCCCGTTAATAGGGGAATGGTTAGTAAGCGAACACATTGGGCTATGTAGAGGCCCGTCGTTAACAGCGGTGGTCGTTAACAGGGCTTCTACTGTTTTTGCTCACTCACATCCCTTCTCCATACAGTCCACAGTGCTCAACAGAATATCTGTGTGTGTGTGCGAGCAGCGGTCCATCAGCTTCCGTAGCGAGAACCAGGCGCCTACTTGCTCGGTACGGCCGTACAGCAAGCACGTGGCCCCCACACCGCCGAAACGACGCAACAGCCGCCTGTGGAGCGAGACGTACGATGCTGGCGCGCACGAGGCATTCTCGCGCAGCGAGATCAAGCGGCAGGAGGTGAGAATTCATGCGTGCGCTCACTGCTTGGGCACGTCCGATGTCACAGGGGGGGATGCGAGGGACTTCTGTGAATTAACGTGCGGCAGTTTGTACGGGATGGCCACAGTGTGACACAGCATCACTTGTTATTGGAACAAATGAATTGCACGATTGGCTTATGTAGTTCGCTGAGACGGCATACACATAAAGTGGCTGAGGCAGCTGATGTGTCTGAGCACGGAGTGAGCACTGCAGAGATCGTCACTATAGTTAAATCGAATTCTAACTATAGTTAAACCGAATTCTCAAGTGTATTGAGTTGATGGGCTCATCGTGGTCACCAATAACTCTACAATGAAGCCATCTTAAAATTGTATTTTTACATGTAATTCATTTGGTGTATTGCTAGTTCTGAGGACTAAAAATGAATCAGTGTTACTGGCACCTAATGAACATTTTTAGCACGGCATGTCGGAAAGTGCATCACTCTCGTGGAGTGATAGGTGAAATGTGCGTACCTTTGCAACCAAACAGATGGTGCATTTGTGTCACAACAGAGCCGCCGTGCAGCACAACATACACAGGCATTATCCCGTGCAGTTTTAGCCCACACACATCTGCGGCATTGCAGGTGAAAAATATTTTTTGTTGACTGGTGACTGCACTGAGGCAGAGGCCCATATGCGTGGGAGGCATCCGATTAGATTCATTCAGTTCATTTGGTGTCCGCGAACGGAGAATTATCTTTCGGCCGCATGACGATCATTGCATTTCTGAAGAGCTATAACACAACAACTGAGTTTTTTACCAGTGTTTTTTTATCATGAAAGTTGGCACGTAAACACGTAACTTGTTATTTTCCAGAGATAAAATTGCATATGGAGTGGTTTACTTGGGCCGTCGCTTATCCGCATAATGGTTCCAACAAAATAGCAGAGTTGCTTCCCCTAAACAATGAGGGCTATGCATAAGCACTTTACAGTGATCCCGCTGTTGTTAACGAAACCCACTGTATAGGACTTGGCGGGAAGCTTGCAGGCTCGTTTATGCATCCGTCAATTAAACAACAGCATTTAGTCGTGACTGATTATATTAATTATCTATGTTTTTATCTCGGTATTGTACAATGGTATAAATATTAATAAGATTCAACCCGACATTTACACTGGACAACATCATTCAGGGATCCAGGGGCATTTGGACTAGCTTTAAATGAGCAATTCCCAAATTCCAGTCCTGTTATTTTTGTTCCAGTCTACTTTTTACTTCAATCTTAATTTGGCGAGTACCGGAGTTTTTCGTTTGCCCCACTCTGCAATGCAGGGGACTGTTCACTTGCTTTTAACCCTGTTATTTTAGCTTTTTGTATTGTCTTCCCTTTCTTCAATGTACTACGGGGGTGAAATTGCGTGGGGGCGGGGGGGGGGTTGAACTGCTGGCACATGAATAAAAGACAGCTGGCCAAATGAATGAATAGATAAATGTGAATCAAGGCCATGAGCGGTGAGCAACTTCATCCACAACCATCACCGAGCTCTGTTGCCACTGGTTGCCCGGGACACGCTTTTAGGTGTACAGAGGTCAAGGAATGCAGGGAGGCAAGTTCTGCTGTTTTACTGGAGGGGAACGGACAGAGGAGGGGGGGGGGTGAGCATTTGGAAAGGGGGCGGGGGGCTTTTAGTTTTTTTTATATTCCATTCCTTTTTTTAAGCTTTGCTTTTTATTTTAATGCACAACACTCAACTGAGTGAAGCGCATTTACATATTTTTCATCTTTTCCCAGCATCTGCCACGAAGCGCACCTGCAATAAGCAAGCCAAATTTTCCCCAAAAATAATATCGAAAGTGATGGAAAAAACCGCCGTGATGTAGCATGTGTGTGATCGCGATGGATGCATACAATTTTGCGGACAACGGTGTAATATAACATTGTTCAGGTGATATCTCTTGACGGCCGAATGCTCAACACAAACATTTTGCGTCACAAATATGGTTCCATTATATGGCTACAGTCTTTGAAATTTCTCACGTATTTTGTTTGTTGCGGTTGCACCTGACTTAAGAGCCACATGGCTCACAGGGCTATACCAAATAAATGAAACTTTGACCTCTTAAAATCACAGTTTTTGTATTCTCTCCCCTTTGTTCTTCGTTTCATGCAAATTGCTCGTCAGGTTCAACCTCTTTTTTCCCCAACTTGATTTTGCTAAATAAATTACCGATTCTCCATTGATACTTTGTATTTGACGAAATGTAGCTCTGATCGTTGCGTATGTGTGGTTTTTGTTGTTGTTGTTAGCTTTGCTACGCATGGCAGGCCCCTCAGATCTGCTTTGAAACTGACCCGCAAGCCTCTCTCGTCTCTGTTCTTTGTGCCGGATTTAGCACGCGAGCAGTCGTGTTGAGAAGGGTGTGTGTGGTTATGCGCCGCTGCAGAGCTGCCCAAAGCGCGTCGCACAAACCTTGCCCACGCATTGACGGACGGCAGCGAGAGGACGTTCTTTGCTACACAGAGGGACGGAGTGCATCATAGCAATGTTGTAATTTATGTTTGCGATAAGATTTCTCGTAACTCCCTGAGCATATGAGAGTTACGACATGGGCCTTTGCATCCATTTGCAAGAAATCTTAAGAGTGGTCAGGACCACTCATCTATGTCTATTGTAACTGAGAATAATTAACAGCATAACGTAATGAAAAAACTAATTAATAATAAATAACTTGCATTGCTATTAGTATTTCTGACATCACTAGTATAAACAATAACAGTGTTATCATTGATAATATTAATAACGACATACTTTCTTCAGCCACAACACATGGAGTGATGACATCATGACGGCCTAGTTGGATGGGTTCTTATTTATGTCCTCCTGGCAAGCGATTGGCTGGTGTCGTGGGAGTTGTGACGTTCTCCTGAGCAACAGCTCTTACATGGTAGCTAAGATGTCACGTTGACTTACTATTCGTTTTCAATCATGGCATTTATGATCATGCTCTTAAGCATAGCCGACTGGAAAACCGCAATGCGCCATGACTTCTGAACACTTTTCTTATTGTGCCATGTAGTCTATAATCAGGTTTTTTTTGGGTTAGATCACGTAAATATAAATGTGTCTTTAACCCGCCACCACCCGACACAACCAATTAATAAGGTTTGTAGCGTAAACATCACGTGCCAATTGGTTACTACTTCAGCACACCGGTGTGTTCACGAGTAACCCACAACATTTACAATTTGAGTACGACGTTTCGCTGGTGATTACAACCAGCCTTATCAGGCCATTTTCTAGAACCGTGCCATGCAGCTCCCGACTTGAGCAAGACCTCCCTCGTGATTTGGACACTGCAGGCTGTGCCAGGTGCATTGCCTGTTGCATGTGCACATCTGCTCAGGTGCTGCTGCTAAGGAGGCACCACAGTCACTTGGGGTGGGGTGAAGCGTGGGTAGTCTCTCACGTCTTCCAAGGCGTCTGGCCAGTGTGGATGGGCCAGGCCCTCCAGAGAGGCTCTCTGATGCTCCCTGGAGTGAAGGCGCTTGCTGTCAGCAGTGGCGTGAACAATTGTTGGGCTGCACCTTCATTCACCGTGGCATTTTTTTATTTCGTCTGCAAGCCTTCAGGGTATATGTTGGTAGATTGTAGTGCAATGTGTGTTGTCCTTCCCCCGCGCCTCCGATTATCACGGTTGGCTACGTACGGTGCGAAAGAAGTTAAACGTATAACATTTCGTTTAATAAAATCCATACTTGTGCTCACGGTGCACGCATTGAATCGCGTGCGTAAGAGTAGATTTTTCGATTAGCGCACATTTCTCCTCTAGGTTGCAGTGAAAAAAAACAAGACAGAATAAACGAGGCCGAAAGACTGTTGCGACGAGGTGGTGCAGATGTGCCAGAAACATTTCATTGTTGACTTTCAAGGGCACATGCAACGGAGGAGCGCATTTGCTTGCACTTGCCGCCTCGGGTCGGCGACCACGTGGGCAGGCGGGCAGGGCAAGCACAGTGCAAACACGGTCGTGTGCGTGACTGCGAGGCCGGATTGCTCGGCAAACACTCCAGCAGCGAGATTGCGGGGCGCGCCCACACTCAAGCCTGTGCACGCACGGGGAGCGTGAGCACGCACTCATTCCCGCACTCGTGGGGCAGGCGCGTGGGAAGGAGCAACTCGTAAATGTGGACGGCGTGCTCTCCCGCACCGACACGGCGCTCTCTCGTGCGCTCTCTAATGAGATTTGATCTTCTGCTCTAATAATGTTATTAAGACCCATTAGTGCCCCGCGCAGTTCTCATTGCATTTCGCTGAGTGCATGTTTAAGGCGGAGTTAATATAGGGGGCGGCCCACTCAAAATAACTTCTTTTGTGACACATACATACACGTAAAGATGAAAACGTCAGTATGTGTGCATGCACACCGACGCGCAAAAGCCAACTAGCAAACGCTGATTGTGAGCGGGCAGCTGTACAGCGGGCAAGGTCGCTGCTTCTGTTGCACTTAATTAAAGCCTGGCCTCTGGAAGGCTACACAAGCAATTACAGCATTAAAATTGCATTTAGTTATTTTTCTGTGAAAATGGAAACTTTTTCTGGGTGCGCTGCAGACAGCATTTAGTCTCCTCAAAACAAATTGTCTAGGGTTTTTCACTGTAATTACTTAATTGCTATTGCATTGATTACATTATTAGTGTCGGATTTTAATCTGTAATTGATTTAGTTACACGATCCGTCGCCAAGAGATCGGGTATTTTATCTGCTTCCATTTGTCACGTGTACGAACAAAATGTCATTAACTTTAATTGCACGTAAAGGCATATCAGCTTTGTCAAAACACTGACTTAAATGCTGTATTTCACTTCAGTTTTTGGAGAATTAACATTCTTATAGGCCGAAAGACGTGACTTTACCGAAAAAACCTAAGAATATGAATCCTTGCAGTCACGAAAGCTTCAAATCTAGAATTAAGATTCTGGTCGACAATATTTTTTTTGTCTATTTCCCAATTCTATTGTGATTGTACTCTCATAAATCATTTCATTCGATGACATGATCCCAATATGAGCAGCGCTCAGAATTCAAATCCAGGATCTCATCAGTGCCAGCTCATTACTCGAAGCCGTAGTACATGGCTGCACGACTACATTGTTTGTTTCCACGGCCATGAAGGCCAATACGTTCTCATCGTTGTGGCATTTGAGCGCCCTCTTTGCCCATTGTGTTTTTCCATATTGTGCTCCGATCGTGCATGCACCGCGCGCCCTTAACAGGCCCGCGAGTAAACACGTCGTGCCGCGGATTATTCCACATCCGTGATGACAGCCGCTTTCCGTTCGCGTTTGACCTCTACATGGGTTTGCTTGCTTCGCTCATACGGAGGAATACAGGAGACGAGACAGAACATTTGTAATCTCCACTTGGCCTGCTGTTCCCTGATGTGTACGAAGTTGGGTTGGAGAGAATTATTTACGTGATGGAACGCTTTTGAATAGTATTTATGATGTATGCATGCATGTTGAACTTTTGCATCGTACGAAGCCAATCCGTGCCACTTGATAATACACGGATTGGGAAGGTACTGTGAAAGGGGGCTGTCTCATAGAAAAGAAATGACGAGAGGTGTGCAAAGAGCAGACGGCTGAGTACCTCTTTGCCTCGAAGCTACGCTTTGACCACAGACCGTTTTATTTATTTCATTTGAAGCTCTCGCTGCGGTGTGAGTTCATGCTCAAACCAACAAATGTAACGTGTGGAAGCGTTGTGTGCGCGGACCCAAATCGTCCCTTTTGTGTTTGTAGGCCATTTTTGAGCTGGCCCAAGGGGAGCAGGATTTGATTGAAGACCTCAAGCTGGCAAAGAAGGTGAGAGCCACGCAGTGTGCGGCCATCCTGCTGTTACAAAGACAAAGATCCCCCGTATAGCCTTAACAGACTGTAGGGGCAAGTGCTGTTAGCGAGCACCTATGAAGGCCGGAACGGTACACGAACGAAGGGGGTGGGTGGCCAGCACCACTCCCGACCGCCTTTGTCTCCCCAGCGCAGCATGCTAACCGCTACACTACCGCTCCCCCCCCCCATGCTGTTACACACACACACGCACTCGTACTGTGCAGCAGTGCCGGTGGCTCACTTATATCGTCATGGGCCTTCGTCAGGCACTGCTCGTTCGCGCTCGGCGACCTGGCAGAAATCGTCAATGAATTAGCCATTGGTGTAGCATCGATTCGGATGTTGTGCTCACAAAAGGAGTGCTAATCAGGCAATGATGTACTTATTGTTTGAAAATCTCCATAGTTTTTAATTAACCCTGTCAAAATGGATTAATTCTTTCAGCATTGGACTGCTTTGGTTTAATTAATAAGAGGGACTGACAAATGATCAATTTAGAGCACTTGGCCTACGGGTGAAATTACAATACGTGACGCGGTTATTTGATTTCCATTTTGGTAAATCACGGTAAGCACAAAGGAAATATAATCTGTGTTATATGAAACAGCAGTAGACAACCAGACATCCCTATCACATTCCACTTATACTATCTTCATCGCATGTAACATATAACCTTCCCCCTTTACCTCTGACAATTGGACGAATTGTCACAAATTGGGGTCACAATTCGTCATTTTTTCATCTCATTTTGGACCGTCTCTCGTGTAATATCTTTATTCTATCTCATTCCGTAGCCAAATTCAACATTTGTGTAGAATGTGCATACATTGTACATATTACATTCTTATACAAGTGGTTCATAAAAATTAATTTGAGTCCATGAGTAATATTTAACTCACAACCACAGTGTTTTGGTAATAAAGTACACATTCTGCAATGTGTCTTGTCCGCCGATTGATTCAACTCACCGTGGTAGAAGTAGCATTGGCCGACCCAAGTCTTCTGACGTTACAATCGTCTGTTTTTTTCTGACAATTTTCGTTTAAGGTTGAAAGCGGCTATTCATTAACTCTATCTGTCCATCTGAACTCTCATGAAAGATGATATGAACCAATTGTCGTATAAATGTATTTCTATTTAACACTTCACTTTTGAAAACTGACCAATTTAATGAAAGTTTCCCAAACTTTGGATACACAAACCAGAGCAAAAAGGATAATTAGGAAATATGCAAATTATCTTGCCCTAAAATTAACCCAGTCAATTCCATATTGTATGCAAACATTTTTCACAACGGGAATTATAAATGAGCAAGTTGTCCTTGCCTCTACCTATTCACCTGCGCACCACCGCTTCACCTAAATTAACAGCCCATGATTGCAGCCAAACACATCGCTTTCTCAGCACAATGTATCAATCGCGTCGTCATCGATGAAAGTGCATTGGGGCTGATTATCATCGCGTGCGCCCCTTGCGTGAATGATCATGCTTGGCTGCGTTGTGGTTGAACAGGCCTACAGAGATCCCATGCTCAAGCTGTCCATTATGACGGCGGTGGAACTCGCGCAAATATTCGGGGCTCTCGACTCTCTCATCCCACTGCACGAAGGTGAGAGCCAACAGCGTACTCACCCGCGCGCCTCACCAGGGCATGCGGACGTAGATTAGCACGGTTGGCTACGTACTGCGCGAAAGAAGTTCAACGTATTTAATATTGTGTACGACATTCTGCCGAGTCCTGCAACGTCGTGACTTAAGTTGCCTTAAAAATCCGACAGGTGATATGTATCTTCTTGGTTCTTTTGGTAAAGTCACATAGAAGGGAAATAATAAAATAATAAAAATAAGACGTCGTGAGAATTTTATTTTATTCTGTTTTTTTTTTTTTTCTTTTTTTCTTATTTCCCTTCTACGTGACTTTACCGAAAGAACCAAGAAGATGAATCCCTGCAGTCACGAAAGCTTTAAATCGAAAGGTGGTAATTAATTATGAAAGCGTAAATGTATTGAAGGTGAAAATGTTGTGATGTAAGTTGACATCAGAGCGTATATAACATCGATTAAAATATAAAATCGGTTCAAATATATTCCCAGCCTAAGAGGCTGTTAACCGACTGGTAGATTTAATTATATTTTGATCTAGCATCCTCAGGCATTTGCAGATCCTAGGGTTTCACACTCACAGGTTTCAATACCGTACACACTCACAGCTCAACCTGCCCTGTAACAGTAGCAGCAATTATGAAGCCTTAAGAGAATACGTTGCTCCAAAGGATGCTTAAGAGACTCGCGTTTCAATATCTGAACATTAAGTTCTGAATCATGCTCGGTGTTGATAACATTGCGGGTAATACAGTAATTGTTCTGTGTTTTTGGCAGTGAAATAGACCCTTGTTAGTTTCCCAAATCTGCCAAACAGCACAGTGTTTGGTTGCTGCATGGTCCCAAGGTGTTTGTAGAGAGATTTTTTGAATCAACTATTTAACAAGTCCCACCCTGCTAATGAGACATAGAAAAGTTTAAAAAAACCGGTTCAACCATTTAACTGCTTAGAACATACCATTTACCTGCTTCAACAAAGCCTTTTCTCCAGATGGTGCATTGGCTGATTAACACGAATTTCATTTAATAAAGTGGCTCAGATTAAATAACGTCCGTGTTGACGTCTCTGCCCGCGTTCAACTTTCCCATAGACCTGCTCACCGGGCTGCAGAAGGCACGCAAGCCCAACGGTGCCACGGAGCGCGTGGGGCACATCCTGGTGGAGTGGGTGAGGAACTCTCTCACATGCCAATTCGGTGGAAAGCTCAGTGCCTCGGCGACTTGGTTCAGTGCCACTTGCCACGGTTGCCAAACCTCAGTGCTTCGCTCGAGCAGCAGAAGATGCAGCAACAGCAGCAGCACCATGAAAGTCACTTTTGTGTGAAGCCATATCCAGCTCGTTGCTCTGAGAGGTGTCCTCGGGTTTGCTGGATCATGTCCCTCCACAGGTTCCTCGTAGAGTTGTGGAATTCCTGCACTTGTTGATCTAGTAATAGGTTTTTACCCTTTTATCTGGCACCAAAACTGACACCTTTATACAAGGGATCATGTTTACAATAACCACAACACAAGCAGTCAAAATGCAAACAAAAGAGACAGCTCTGATAATGATATGCACTGTCCTTGATCTGCCTGTTGGCCAGGAGATGGTAATACAGGAAACGGTTTTGTGCCGTCATTGAGGGTTATTTACAATTATGCACGAGCTACTCCGGTTTTCTGTCCACATGCAAAACATTACGTAAAATGGATTCGGCTGAATATCCAATTTTGCAGTACTCTCCTGGAAAAAAAAAACCTTGATACTCAGCGAGGTATTCCTACATTATAAGTGCCATTATTAATAATAGGGGCTGTGCTAAGCATTTTAAACATTAGCAATTTATTTATGTTGAATTGGTGGATCAAGCGGTGTTTAGGGGAATGGAGCCATGGGTGTTCATTTGTCTTCGCAAGTGTGTGGCGATCTTGACTACTGTCAGGGAGTTTTAACACGTCGGCTTTTGCGACCAATATCATCCATACTAGAGGTTTTTGGGTTAGATCACGTAAATATAAACATGTCGTTAAACCCGCCACCACCCGGCAGTTAATTAATTACCTGTTAAACTAAGCCAATTAGGTGGCTGTGGCGGGTGGTTGCGGGTTTAACGACACATTTATATTCACACGATCTAACCCAAAACACCTCTATTATGGATACTATAAGGGATTTAAACAACGAGGAGAGACAGCATGAGAGTCTATACAACTCGAGAGGGTTTCTGATAACAACAGATGTACTCTGACATTAAATGTAATAGTGGTGTCACCTGTTAGAGTTTGCCTGTGACCAGATCACTCGAAATGCAGCCGATCTCATCAGATCTCGGAAGTTACATAGGAACGAGCCAGAATAGTGTTTTGGTGGGCGACCACTATGCATAACACAGGAGTTAGGTGCTGCTGATGGGCTACGTTGTGAGAACCAGAGGGCATTGCAACGCAATTACATTGCTGTATGATATGATCCTCCCCAGACGCACGCTTCTTGCTTTGTCAAACTCGCACTACCTTGTGTCGTGAAGTATGGTCGGATAAATCCTACGACCTGTCTGGCGTTGGGCGGGGGGGGCCCTTCTACAGCAGAGTATTGGCAAAAGGTGGATTAAAACAACTAGATAATGGCCTACTGCTGATGCAACAGCAGTAGGCCATGCTTTCCCACCTGATGACGGACGCTTGTGTTGCGCCCGAAACGTCGTGATTTAATTTAGTTATTTTGTTTTTTACCTACGTGACTTTACCGAAAAAATAACCAAAGAGTATGAATCCTTGCAGTCTCGAAAGCTTCAAATCTAGAAAAAAAAGTGGATTCTCAATAAACGCCTGTTATACACCTCCGATGAGCACGTTTGGCTACGTACGGTGCAAAAGAAGTTCATCATACATACACAGACTAGCTTGCTGGACAATACATTGTCCCACACAGTGCACAACGGTAAGAGGTAATCGCGTGTCTTCTCTACCTTATGTCTCTTTCCGTTTGTTCCCCCCCACCCTGCCCAACCGCCCAACCCCCGCCCGGCCTGCAGTTGCCGTGCCTCAACGCGTACACGTGCTACTGCGCAAACCAGGTGGCGGCGAAGGCGCTGCTCGACCAGAAGAAGCAGGACCCGCGCGTGCAGGACTTCCTGCAGCGGTGCCTCGAGTCGCCCTTCAGCCGCAAGCTGGAGCTGTGGAGCTTCCTGGACGTGCCGCGCTCGCGCCTCGTCAAGTACCCGCTGCTGCTGCGCGAGATCCTGCGCCACACGCCCAACGAGCACCCGGACCAGCAGTGCCTGGAGGAAGCGGTGAGCGACCGGCAGCCGCCCGCTGAGCCATATGGCTCTTTTTCAGAAGCGACCTGGCCACAAATGAAAGCTCGACAACGAAGTGGCCTGTCATCACGTGGAAATGTATATCTCTTTCAGGCATGTTTCTCAATGTGGAGGGAAAAACCAGGGACAACATGCAAACTCCAAATATATATAGATACAGCTCGGGGGCTGGGCTTTGCTCCTAATTGTCTCTTCGCTTGTGCTGTGGGGGGTAGCTATGCATTATGTAGGTGGTGTAATTGCACCGAGACCCACATGTCGGAGGAACCCAGCTTCCAGACTTGGAGAGGGTGAGCGGGGTGGGGAAATTGGACAGGTGGCTCCGTTTGGTTCTTTCGCCAGGGCCCATGGCAATCAGGCTACACCACTGTTTGTTGCGCCATGGGGAAGGTGGAGTCAAGTGAGCGCCGGGTTGCTAACGTGCTTGTGAGTCGTGCACAGAGTGCATATCGGTTCACAGGGCCCTCAAGGGAAAATAGGGCTCTTGAGATGAGGGGGCGGTGGCATGGTGGGCAGGTAGGGTAAGTTTGCCCTGGGCCTCAGATCTGAGAGCAGAGGTCTCTCCACAAAAGGCCAATGGTGCCTCATCTAGAATTATTCCCTAGACCTCGAAAACCCTTTGGCCCTGATGGAAAGGTCCTTAAAGTTACGAATAAATTTCACAATTGATCGATAAGATTATTTTTTCTTTCAAAACCAGATGAAAACAGTGAGAATGATCAAATTCAACTTTGATCACTTAGGTAGAACTAGTTAAGATTACACTGAGATACATAATTATTTCCATTAAACACGGTTATAATAAACAAACGAGTTAGTGCATCATCAGTTTAATATGAATTATTACTGGCAAAATACACGTGTCTATTGTGTATGAGAATCAATTATTTATAATTGTAGTTTATGTTCACATATGTGTTGTTCCACTGACGATTACATATACATTTATATCAGTATATATATATATTACGGGCCCATGACACGCTAGTGGGACTGTCGCTCGGCTGGCCTTTGAACGCCTAGGATTTCCCCAGGAAGAGCTAGAGTCTGTGTATCGTAGTGTATAGTGTAGTGTAGTAGTGTATAGTCGTGTATAGTGTAGTGTACGAGGACCCCATCGTAAGTCAAAAATATCGTAAGTCGAAGATGGCCTAGCCTACCCAGGAGTCTTAAAGAATGGTGATAATTTAACAAAACAGAACAATTTACAGTACCGTACTGTATAAACTATATACTGTATGTATTTATTAATTACAATACTGTATTGCACAGTAAAATGTAAAGTAAAAAAAACAGGGTAAATTCTTAGCCTACCGAGACAACTTAACTCCGTCGACCGCTGGTGAGAGTGAGAGGCATCACCACACAAGGCGGGAGATGCGTACAGTACATCCCGGCAGCGTCCCAACGTACAGTATCGTACCTCGTACGTTGCTGCGTTTGCCTGCCGCCGCAAAATGTAAAATATTTGACAATTTTGTAGTATCGCCATCATAAGATCGAAATATCGTAAGTCGGACCATCGTAACTCGGGGACTACCTGTATAGTAGTGCAGTGCTGGAGTCTGTCGCCAGGGAAAGGGAGGTGTGGACCGCCACTACTCAACACGCTGCTGTAGTGTATAGTGTAGTGTAGTAGTGTATAGTGTAGTGTAGTAATGTATAGTGTAGTAGTGCTGGAGTCTGTCGCCAGGGAAAGCGAGGTGTGGACCGCCACTACTCAACACGCTGCCGCCACGACCCTCACCAGGGCAAGCGGACTGAGAAACGAACTAATATAGATTACATGCGCCACATCGGCAATGAAATAAACGACTCGAATCAAATTGTGGTCCCATTCATAACATTGAATCATGAAGGGGGTGAATCATTATGCGTCTAATAAACAATGTTTTCGCTGTATTACAGTGGGATGTCTCTTAATTTTGAAATCATAAAAGCATTTTATATTACTGTTGGTGCTTATGTAAACGCACCTGCAAATGCATGGACACTGACAACTCAACGAACCTTCATGGTAGCAGTGCAAAGACAAGGCATCTGCAGTCAACCAAAACATCCACATGTGCTCGTGGAAAAATAAAATAAAGATCAGGTTTCCCACGAAGGGAGTTTCTTGGCTGGAGGATTAGAGTTGGCCTGAGGGGGGGGCCCTGCCAGTGTAACCACAGCTGTCACAGCTGGATTACCTGTGCTGTGGTGGTGATTAATGTGTGCCACCACCTCTTTGTGGGAATATGTCTTGTGCTTTCAAACCCTATTCTTTTGTGTGAATATTAATAAATATACATTATGTGGGTGTCATGGTGGCGAGATGTGAACTACCTCGTCTGGTATACAGGAGGTCGGTGGGTTCGATGCCGACCCTGACGCCTGTATATTTGGACCCTTCTTGTCAGTATCAAAATATAGCAATAGGTGTTAACCTCTCTGGCAATAAAACAGGTGTTAAGATGTTAAAACACCAAACATAATCCTTTTTCAATAAATCCTGTCTGCATTAACCACACGTACTTGCGGTGAACATGCAAACAAAAAAACATCCTCTGATAATATATATGGCATTTTGTTTGAATCTGATTGGTCCACACCAGAGACGGCTTTCTTTAGAGCCGAGTCTCAAAGCACAAAGACAATGCACTATCAGGGCATTTCTAGTTTGGGGCGAGCAGCTAGAATATGGGGCTTTTCTTGCCAGTATCAAGATATAACAATAGGTTTTACTCTTTATGGCAATAAGGATTCTGTTTGGTGTTTTAACATCTTAACACACCTCCTGTTCTATTGCCGGAAAGGGTAAAACGTATTGTTTTGTATATTTGGAGTTTGCATTTTCTCCCTGTGGTCAAGTGGATTTTTCTCCGTTTTTTCCCTCCACATTTATACACACGCGTTTAGAGTATTTGGTTGCTATTCATTGCCACGTGATGAGCCACTTCGTTGAGCTTTCATTTGTTGCCAGGTTGCTTCTGAAAAAGAGCTACGTAGCTCAGAGTGGGGCCTTACCTTGTAAAATAAAAATCGTTTTTTTTTACATCAGCATTTCGATTCAGTATATCGCTTTGAGTGCTCCTGTAACATTGCTTTTGTTTACAATGGTTTGCATTGCCACATTAGCTAATGTGGCTATTTGAAGCATACATATAACGAGATGATTAGGCTCTGGCCTCTTGATCTTTCTGATGGACATGTAACGAGGCATCTCTTCACCCCCGCAATTTGAGGAATTGTCATTCTTTTAAATCGTGGAACGGATTTCGAATCCAGTCTTTGTCTTTTGGTTTTTACTTTTTCATTTGTAATACCTAATTTGTTTTGTCTTGTGTGCACAGTGTCATTATTTTATTAACTTAAAGTCACCATCTGCATATAATTTGCATTAATCTTTAATAACGACTCACGCGCACGATTCGTGTTCACGTCCCGTGAGCGTATGCATTCTGTTTCGTTTGTGAGCCATTGCATTATGTAATGATTATAATGATCATCGGCCCAGATTTTGAGTGTTTTTCCTAAAGCGAGACGCCCACTGCCCGTGTCACAGATCTCCATCATCCAGGGCGTGGTCGCAGACGTGAACACGCGCACGGGCGAGTCGGAGTGCTGCTACTTTCGCGACAAGCTCGACTACCTGGACGAGCGTCAGCGCGACCCCCTCATCGCCACGTCACGCACTCTGCACCTCCACGGCGAGCTGCGCAACAACCGTGGCACCGTGAGTTCACCCGTCTCTCCTCGTCGCCCATGAGCGTGCAGGGGCAGGGTGAAGGGGACCCCCCCGGTTTCTACGACGGGAGCAGAACCTTCTCCACAATGCGGAGGGCCGAATAGCATTTTTAAATCCGGTCAAAGCTTTTTTTTATTAGTATTATATTTATATCACAACAACATGCGGGTCCTGCAAACCACACCGGAAGATTCCAACAACGGGATACAACAACAAAAAATCCACAAACATCCATTCCGGCGTGACGGGACCACATCAAAGGGGAGGATGGCCCTCCACTGTCCCAGACGGGCGAAACTCTTAACCCCTTCCCATTCCGATGACGTCTGCAAGTTGCAGGGTGGGTTCCGTTCACCGCTGAATTTCGAGAGCGTGCAAACGGTTGAGCGTTCTTTTGTTTAGAGAGGCATAGCGACGTTTTTAAAAGACCCTACTGACCGCAGAGGACCGAAGCGACACGACCGCACTCTACGACAACTGTCGCCAAACTGTGCCACACGCCTTCCTGCATGGCCTTATGGGAGCCTCGGTACATCTTCCGTACCGAGGCTCCCATAAGGCTATGAAGACGTACCGATAAGGTTGTTTTTTTTCTTCCGATTCCATTCCGACGACATTGCACATACGTCATCAGAAGAACAACTCATGACGTATATTTGCAGAGGTGTACATTTACAGAAGCGGAATACTGTGTGTGTGTGTCCCCCCCCCGTCCCTCAAACCTTGTGCCATGCCCAAATGTTGGAAATATATGAAAAATAATTCTTCTGACATCCATATCTGTACACGGTTTCATTATTTTTGAGTTTGTTTCTTCTTCAACTTCCGAGCTACAACTTTTGCTGTACCTTTGGCGAGCCGTGTACTCGCACACGGCTCGGCGGTATCCAATAATTATGCCAAACAACGTGTGCGTGTCAACCGATTGTAAAGAGGCCCTTGCAGTGACGGAAGGACGCGTCCTAAATTTAGAAACAGGATTGCAAAGCTAAAAATATTGTGGCTGCTGGCCAGATACGGCCCCTGTACAATAGATTCCCCACCCTGTTCTACGCGATTTTTTTATTTGTCTTCAGCCCCCTGCCCCAATTAGTATGTCTGCTTTGTGCTGGAAAATGGCTCCCAAATATGGCTTCGCAGGACTACTCACGAAGTCACTTCAATTGGCTGCGAGGCCCTCTGGAAGCACAACTTTGTACAAGGTTTTCATTCCGCTTCGGTTATATTCTTAATCTTAAGAGGTGGAATATACCCAATGAATTGGAAGGAAGAAAACGTACTTGGAGAGTGCTAAGACCAGCGTTACCTCCCTCTACACTTGAGAACCAAGTGTAATCATAGTTGTCTATTTAGAAGCAAACCCTTTTACTCAAGCGGTCCTGGCTCGGTGCTTTTACGCAAAATTAGCCCCCTGCGCCACCCAGCTACCCGCGGCTGCACGTTCAACATCCCACCCAGACCAGCCCTTCGTTAATCGGGGTGTAACGCCAGTGGGCTCTGTCTCCGGAGTAATTGTCAACGAATGAATGAACAATGTAATGGAGTGTCTCGCCACGAGTGCCCGCAATGAGCAGCGTCACCCTCGCTAAGTTTCTCCGCTTGGCAGCGAGTGGCTGAGCTGCACGAAGCTCATTTACAAAGAGGAATGTTGCCATCAATGCTAAACAGCTGTAATAATTGCGAGCTGATTTCCACGTAAATTCTTCCTCAAATCATTGACACGGGGACTTTCTCATTCATCGGGTGGAGGATACCTCCGTTGTTGCTGGAATGCTATTTTTCAGTGAAGGTCCCTGAGTTTATTTGTAAATGCTTCACAGATCACTATGGTATAGGGATGGATGAGACGGGATGGAATTGTGTCACGTATCAACGGGCTGTTGTTCTTAGAGTTTCCAGGCTACACAGCTTTGGGAAAGGAGGGGGTGCAGAGAAGTTTATTCGTGCACGGTCATCATCTCTGTTGCTCATCTCTCCCCTTACACGGTTCGTGACGATCAGGATTCGGCACTGCTTACGTTGGATATCAACAGCAGCTCGTCGTGGCAATGCCACGGTACATATCCACGAACCCACAAATGTGGGCTGCTTTTATAAGCGATAAGTTATCAAGGCAGCTGTACTGAGCCCCAAGCTCTCACTCTGATAACATCCTTATCGTGAGATGGAATGGTTAAACCACTGGAGAAAACAAGAGGCAATGTTGGCAGTGCTTCTTTCCACAGACACGTCTAGAAAAAAGGCAGGTCAGCGTGACTGAAAGTGCGGTGATGGGTGGAATTAGGCGCGATGGATGGGATTAGCAAAGTGTAGGTCTATTTGATGGGCACCGTGGGCGGTGGGAGTGACCGACAGCGGTGATCTGCCTCCCGTGTGTTCCCATGACGGCCGGCGGAGCGGACATTGATAGCATCAAGTCCTGATCTTCTTGAAATGGCGAAGCAAAATAGAAACTGTTGGCCCTCTTAGTCACCACGAGGCACTCTGAGTCAAAGAAACCAGACTTTTGGCTCTGTCACCAATGTTTTGTTGTTTTCTTATTCCACAAAAGTGCACAGCACCCTGGTGATGAGATCCGTGAGTCACGCAGTGTTTTTGTTAGCACATGTAATAATCCTGTGCCCCGTGGGCAGTTTGAACTGTGAGATTCACGTGGGCAAAGAGCCACTTTCCACGAGTCATTCTTACTCATTGCGATTAATTTTTCAATATTAATTTATTGTTACTACATAAAAGTTACAGGCTATTGCTGGTGTGGGAACATGACATGTTCAGTTCATAGTTATACGTTTGACTTAACATTTGCATATGAATATACACAGTGTACGTGCCTGTATATTAGCCATGGATCTCTAACAGCTGTTTCTTGGTATTGAATTGTGTTATTTATAGATGGGTTTTCAACCATTCTACACTTAAGTGAATAGAACACGCTGGATATCCTTGTTTGACACATTTGATCAATATATGAACATAAGGCTTGATAACAACAGAGATAGCTTTGTTTTTACATATTTTGAAAGTGCCAGAGAAAGAGTGGGCATTTGATGGAACTGTGATGCCACATTTGGCAGCCTGTTTGGTATATTAAACGTGCAAGAGTTTACAGTACTTTGGATTAACATTTCACTAAAAAGAGGGAAATGATTCTGCGTTGTAATGAGCCGATTGCGACAATTTAAAGTGGCAAATTCTAGCAATCTACATTAGAGAAAGATACAAAAAATAGCCAGCCACAGCTGTGTGGAATCGGCAGGCGTTTACTCTCGTTATGGTGGCAGATCGATTTGACCATCCACTCTCTCACAGCTCATTGCACGGAGACTGTTCTGAACCTTTACAGAGGGGAAAAAGGGATGTCGAATGAGGTGGTTCAAAAGGAGAGTACAACTGTCGTTATGCTGTTGACGGAATTGCGGCACGGGGGAGCAAGATGCATGGGGTGCGAGAGGTGGGATGGTAATGACACTTCCGATAGTCACATTTGTGCAGGTGGGGCTTCTCGCGGAGGGATACCATGAAGGTGCGGATGCAGAGATGGGTGTTTATTTTTTTGGCGAATTATTTTTTTCAATGTAAAAATGTAAACCATATCCATTTAACACGTAGGCTTTCGCGACCAATATCATCCGTAATACAGGCTTTTTTGGGTTAGATTGCGTAAATATAGAATTGTGTCGTTAAACCCGCCTGACAGACAGTTTTAAACAAATCTGGCTGTCGCCTGATGAAGCTCATAATTACTGGCGAAACGTCGTACTCGGATTGTAAATGTTGTGGCTTGGCTCTCCAACACACCGGTGTGCTGTACTGGTGACGAATTATTGGCATGTTCATTTTACGTGACAAACCTTACTAGTTGGCTGTGTCGGGTGGTGGCGGGTTTAACGACACATGTATATATGTACGCGATCTAACCCAAAAAACCTGCATTATGGACTATATCCATTTGTCAATCCACTGCTTGAAGAAAGCCTTCTCCCAAGCTGCGTTAGTGACAGATGTTTTTTTTTTACCATACTTCACCATGCTGGGCATTGCCAGGTTGGTGAAAGAGGTGGGGCAGTAGTCAAAGCTGTCAAATGTAGAGTATTGGAATCAGCATATTAATTTCTACTGGAGGAATCCAATGAACTATAAAGCTGTTTTTCACAGATGTCCAGTAGTGGGGCAGGTAAGAACGTGACAAGAATAAACAATAACAAAAATAGGACAATATATTATTTTTTATTTTATAAAATACGATATGAGTGCAAAGTACAAGAAAGGTAAACAAATCACCCAATGCATCCAAAGAAAACTAAACCATCCCTATCCTACCAGACAAAGCCCACTGTGAGAGTGTTCACTTATTTTTCAGAAGCGACCTGACCACAAATGATAGGGGCTCAGTCGTTTGTGCTTGTATTACATGCCCCCCCCCCCGCCGCCCCTTCAATGTCACCCACAGCAATCACCATTCCCATGCTAGGGTATTCCACTTGTCCTGAGAACGCTTATGCTTCTGCCCGTTTCCAGCAGCCAGCGTATCGAGTATGCGCTGAAAATGCACGGGCGTCTGCATTAGTTGCAACCATTGCAGCACTAATGATGAATTAATGGTTTTTCGCCGATGGCTCAATGACGTGGGGTAATTAAGGCTTGGTTCCGAGTTAAAGAGTTTTATTCCCAGATCACTGTGATGATACACAGAACATCTAAATCAGGCATTTGTGCATTTCAAGTCCAAGGAACACAAGGACATTCAGTACTCTTGTTAAATGTTTGAAATGAAGTCAGTTTAGACGTTGAGCAATTCCCTGGCACTCATGATTGTTAACAATTTCAGAGTCTGAAAAGAGTAGGAAACATTTGTTCATTTCAAGTATGTTCATATATATTGCATCTTTCTCAGTTTACATGTTTACTTTTCTTAAGTAATACTCAAATAACCCTTGTGGATGCATATTTCGACTGTGTCCTGGGCTCTTTGACACAGGTTTAAAGCTTCAATAATTATATTTCTTATGGTTAGTCGCATTGCCATAGGGCTCTCGTAACATCGCTTCGATGATGTTGTGTTAAAATCTATATAAGTAATGTGCTACAGTGTGTCTGATGGTAATGTATTGATGAAGGATTAAATTCACGTCAGATAGGTGTGCACACAACATTGTTACACATTTACAACGTACGAACAAATACCATTTTCAGTTGTGTCTTCCTTTATCTGTGATTCAATCATGTGTCTACCAAAATATTAGGAATGGTACAATCCAACATGTTGCATTGAAGTGATAGGTGTCTTGAAATACCACATGGAGAAGTACCGCTATATGATACTGTTGGTTTTTTCGGTAAAGTCACGTAGGTGAAAACAAAGTAAATAAAAAATAAAACAACTAAATTAAATCACGACCTTTCGGAAGCAACACAAGCATCCGTCATCAGGTGTGACTGCTCCAGCAAAATTACTGTATCGTATGCAGAGAGCTATTTAGAGACACGTGGTTATATAGGGTACTAGGAGGGGGGGGAGGTTATGCGGGCAGGCCTTGTGGCGTTGAAGGTGGTTGGGCAGGGGATTAGCATGAGTTAAGCCGATAGATAACCATCTTGTTTCTTTGTGATGCGAGGGGAGGGCAGAGGTCGCAAACGGGTACCCGATACCCGTACCCTACCCAATACCCGGCTACCCGTTTGCAACCCTGGTGCGGCCGGGTACGGGTAGGCCGTGAGTCACTGGTGAGTAACTGTCACTCATTTCCCAACGTCTTGTCTCTTCTCACAATTCAAGTTCCTAGAATCAACCCACCCACGCCTGCAACATGGCGTCATCCCAGAGGTCGCAATCAGGTACCCGATACCCGTACCCTACCCTTACCCGGCCGGGTACGGGTGCCCGTTTGCGACCCTGGTACGGCCGGGTACGGGTAAGGAATCAAAACCCGTTTGCGACATCTGGGGGAGGGTGAGTGTGAGTACGGTGCATTTACGACTAAACGTCGTGCGTTAATTTAGTTGTTTTATATTTATTTTTATTTTGTTTTCACCTACGTGACTTTACCGATAAAACCAAAGAGTATGGATCCTTGCAGTCACGAAAACTTCAAATCTAGATACTGTCAGTATTCTGTATGTATGTGTAGTGGGTAGCACGCTGCACTACAAACCCGGTGACTCGAGTTTGATTCCCGCTCACAGCCAACACCAGTGTCGATTATCTAAACCAGTCCTGTGCCTCCCCTAGGTCGACTCAGCCTCAAATCAGTACCTTGTACGGTGTGTAAAATCATCGCGACTGGGGAGACAAAGGTGGCTGGGCGTGGTGCTGGCCACCCACCCCCTCGGGTGCCGTTCCGGCCTTCATAGGTTCTCACGAACAGCACTTGCCCCAACAATCTCTTACAGGCTACACGGGGGATCTTTGTTTTTGTTGAACTTCTTTCGCGCACCGTACATAGCCAACCATAGTAATCGGGAGGTGCAGAGGAAGGACAGGGCAAAGCCCTCTTTGTACACCTGGTTCAGGTTGCTGGCTGATTGTTGATTTGAGACTTCGTCTGTTGCCGTCGATGATGCAGCCCCAATGCGGTTCATCACACTCACGTGGCAGGGAGCCCGCTCGACCGCGCTGTGACCCCGCTCGACCGCGCTGTGACCCCGCTCGACCGCGCTGTGACCCCTCTCGACCGCGCTGTGACCCCGCTCGACCGCGTTGTGACCCCTCTCGACCGCTCTCCCCCCACCGTCCCTCCATCTGCAGAAGCTGTTTGTGCTGCTCTTCGGAGACGTGCTGGTGCTGTCCCGCCCAGCGTCTCGAGGCAACGACGGCTGCTGCTACCAGGTGTACCGCCAGCCGATCCCCCTGCGAGATCTCCGCCTCGAAGACCTGCAGGACGGCGAGGTCAAGATGGGCGGCTCCTTCCGCGGAGCCTTCAGCAACAATGACAAAGGTGAGCCTGCTTCTTGGGGGTGCGGAGAGGGGACCGGCTGTCTGTAGATGTGCAGGAGAGTGGCGCAAGTGAATGCAGAAGGGAGAGGGAGGGGCGGCACTGGCGTCGTGGTCTTGGCCGCGCCGCGGGCCGCCCGTGTTTGTGCTGTAAAACTAAGCTGTTTTTATTTTACCAGGTAAGGCCCACTGAGCTATGTAGCGCTTTTTTCTGAAGCGACCTGGCCACAAACGATAGCTCACCGAAGTGGCTTTTCACGTGAAAATGTATAGCAGCCAAATACTATCAAACGAATGTTTATTCTAAATCCAAGTGACCAAGGGGAGAGAGAACATGCAAACTGCAAATATACAGGCATCAGGTCGGGATCTAACCCACTACCTTCTCCATGCCATGCGAGGTAGTTAACATCTCGCCACTGTGGAGCCTGTAGATCACACACCGAAGTAGTCTTCATGTTGGTGTCGTAGCACAGGCCTCGTGTCTCTGTAGTCCACACATTGGTGTGGCACTTGAGTTTTAGGTGGGAATGGGGGCAGTGCCAGTGTAAATGTGTTTAATGGGATTCCTGCCCAGCTGTGAAGCAGAGTAATTCCAAGTGTGAGGACACTAGCATGCACATATCAGCAATGCAACATTTGCAAGGTACACATCATGCAGTCCCTTGCCAATGACGATGACCTCTCTTGCATCGGGAGTCAGTAATCCTTCGTCATCTTACCTGGTTGTTCTGTTTGATTCCTATGAGTTCACTTGTGACTTGCAAGACCGGCGTTTGAACGACACACCTTTCTGCATAGATCACATGCACAGTGGGCTGAGGGTAACTCCTGAGATTCATGCATTGGTCGACACTGTAACCACTTCTAACCCGCGTCTCCTGGCTTGTTGTTATTCCGCGGTTTCAAGACCAAGGCTGTGCACCATTGCTGTACACAAGAGTGCATTTGAGTATGCAATGAGAATGTTTTTTTAAGAGCATTGGCACTCCACTTTACTGCTTATGCTGATTGCTAGACTTACATAACATTTTGGCAGCTGTTCGTACATTAGCCATTCGGATTAAGTTGTCATCTGATGAGGTGTTTGATCCCCTTATTTCGGCTAGGTTTATAAATATTATGGTTGGATCTGCGATGTATAATTACATAATTACATGTCATAATTATCACCTTTCACGGATAACATTTCACATATCATTGAGTGAATCCACCTTGACTGTGAAGACCATCGTGATGCAACATTTCTTACCAGTAGCTTAGGTGCCACTTGTTACTGCGACGCAGAGATGTTAACGCCCGCCGTTGTGCCCTTTCAAGCAGCAAAGAACATCTTCCGCGTGGGCTTCAAGGACTCGCTGCAGGGCCAGTCGCACACCTTGCAGGCACACGACTCTTACAGCAAACAGCAGTGGCTCAACAGCATCCGCTCAGCCATCACTGCCCTGGGGGTGGCCGCGCCGGACGACGAGACGTCGGCGCAGCCCGAGCAACCGCCCTCGGGGGCGGACGACCCGGAGGGCCTAGGCCCCGTGCCGCCCTCGCCGATGTCGGTAAGCGACACGCCGCCGTCCCTGTCCGGCACCGGCACGGGGGACGAGCTGTCGCCGTGCAGCAGCGACAGCCGCCCCGTGTCGATGGCGGAGGAGGAAGACGACGAGGTTGAGGAGGACGGCGCTCCCAACCACCCCTTCCCACCGTCGGACAGCGACGGCGGCAACGGCGGCAGCGCGGGGAGCGACTGCGCCGTGTTCTCGGCGTCGGACGAGCGCGACAGCGACGACCGATCTCCCATCCCCAAGGAGATGGACGACTCCGATTCGGACACGAACTCGTGCGGCACGCCGGCCATGATGGACGTGAGCCACGGCTCTCGGCTGGACCAACTCCTCGAAGCGGCAGAACGCGAGGCGGCGACGGACGGTCTCGCCGCGGGCGAGGCGCCGTGCGGCGACTCGTCCCTGTGCGAACTTAAAAAGGAGACCACCGTGTGACCGCACGCCCATGCTGCAGGCGGGGGGGTGGGCCACGAGGTCACGCCGCCGCGCGTGTTCTCCGTCTTTCGTTTTTCCTCAGTGTTGATCGTTGAAGTGAAGTGTTGCCAGCAGATGGCTGTGTGTGTGTGTGGCCGGTCCTGTATAAAAACTCGAGCTGCGTGCATCGCGACAAGTGTCCGTAAAAGCATCCATCCGCTAATGCGTGTGTAGGTCGCGCGCTGAGCAGCAGAGCTGGGCGTGCGCGTCATTCGTTTTAACCGTTACCATGTCAGTCGGCGAGAAGCTTTAGCAGTGGACGGTCGTTTACCAAACAGAGTTATTCTGCTGCCAGTTTACAAGGAGATGGGAACACCTTCACGTACAGCAGCCGTCCTCGCTGAGCAAGACACCCGCTGGGTGTTTGTGTGAAACTGTCCGGATGCCGAGTGAGCGTCGAAGCGCATTGTGTAAAGCTCGAGCGTGTGTGACGTTGTGAGTGTACGTACGTGATATCAGTAATGGGAAGCCATACTTAAAACCACTACAGATAGTAAAGTACTGTACGGTAAGATTGTTACACACCGCAGTGAGTGAAACGATTAGATTTGTATCGCTTATTTTGGATTAAAGCACTCATTCTACCTGCCTGTCTCCAGGAAATAATCTGACATTGAAATGGTACTAATAAATTAACTGGACATTTTCTACACTTCTTTTTATAAAACCAGACCTGTAACCATTAATATAATTACTGAGCATTTTTTAAATTGTAAATTACATTGTGTAGTTAATTCTGCTGTGTAAAACAAACAATGGATAGTCTGATATAAGATGAAGCACCTAGTGGCACATGTTAGAACGTGGCCTGTCTGTACATAACGAGCTTTGTTCATCTCTCTAATGCAGCTGACTTTGCTTATAGTTTACCGGAAGGGGGGGGGCTTTCTCTGCATGCATTTGGGCTAATTAGTTTATAGAAATATTTTTGTATTGCCGAGTTCAACGCGTGGGTAATAATTGTAAACTGCAGCTTTGGTTAGCATTGCTGGTGGCCACGCTAAGTTTCCGCAAAGTTGATCGTGTGGAGATAGACCACGGTTCTCGTCGCCAGGTGTCCTAACCTCGCACGCTGCCCCAAGACTCTAAATGCTTTTGAGGCCCTTGTTTAACTTAAGCTTTTCCTCCTTTTAATAATCCGTGCCCCTAAGGGTGCGTTCGCTTGAGATCCCTTGTCAGCCTGTTTGCGGTCACAATTATCTCTTAAGCAGGGCACTGTAGGCAATGGCAATCAACATTTCATTTCTGGAGCAGCTCCATAAGCAGTGTGTGGCTTTCTCTTCTCTGTTTGGTTTTAATTGTCCTCGGGAATGTGTCCATTCAGTTCGATGACTTTGCAGGAAATGTCAAGTTTGTTTTTATTTCTTTTGGGTTCATTATTGCCTGGGATGTCATGGTTTTTTCTGAATGGCCTTGAGGCCGTGTTTGTCCCTTGCACCTCACATTTTCCACAATGCAAGCAGCTGGCTATGATTTGCTGATGAGCACGAACGAGCCGAAGCTCACACCGATGTTGCTTGCTTGTCTCACTGTGCCACACTTGTTTGGACCAGAGTATCTGCCTTGTACAGCTGAGGGCACAATGAAGGTTGTGGACAGTCACGCAGAACGCCCATCAATATGTGTGTGCTGTGTGCGTGTTCTGCATTCACCGTTAGCCGTGAAAAGTCATCACTTATTCTTTCTCCTTACATATGTTAATATAACTATGGATTGCATAGACCCATACTGCTATTGGGTCTACATGCACTGCAAACAGAGCTGACTGCTGGACTGAATCATGACCATGATTTGTGACAATTCATAGAATCTGGGAGCGAATGCATTGTTACACGCCTTATGAATCTGTATAATTATTCGTAGTTTTTTCCAGAAAAAAATCCATTGTTGCTGAGGTATGAGCCCTTCACGCAAACCCTCTTTGAACATTATTAGGTAGTCTTTTTGTGACACTTTGAGGTGTGCCGATTGCTTGCAAACCCCTTAACTAAAGCGTGTTTACCCAATTCGTGTATTGTTATCTTTGTGCCTATGACATCTTGATGTTCAACAGCACTGCTTGGAGTATAAATTTCTGACGCATTCTCCTTGAGGTCTGCCTGTCTGTGAAGTTCCAAAAACTCCTGAAGATGCCAGCAGAGCTGTACACCGAGTGGCCTGTACACACGCACGCTGGACAATCTGGCGGATCTGGGCATTTGCTCGTACACAAACCACCGCGTGACCAGTACGTTTACACCTGAATGGGCACATCCGTGTTGCTCTTCGGTGACCCGAACCCCTGGGCTGAACTGCATCTGTAAATCTGAAATAATTTCAGATGTGATTTCATACGTATGATCAGAACTGCTGCTGAGTGGCAACAGGCGGAGGAGGCACGAGCCTCAGACACGACGGGGATTTGCCGAGCACGTTTTGCCACGAGCTGCAACGCTCCTTCGGGGTGGGGGGCTGTGGGTTGCTCGTGTGTTTGTGGATTTTATTCGGATTCATAGGAGAATCGTAAAATCCCTGGAGAAGGTTGCATCGGCCCTGTTAAACGTTGTCTTAGGGCTCTGCTTATTCCGTTCGTGCTCACTCGCAGTACTGGTCAAAGTCATGTAACTATGTGCGTACACTGTATTTTTATATGCCGGGTGATGTGAAATCCTGCGTCCACACATCTGTAGTCAGGGTGGCCGTGTACACAAAGGAGGCATTCACCCTTGCCTGCCGATGCAGAGTTTGGAAAACCTCACAAGCCATGTGCGCGGGCACAGCTATGGACGACATTCTGAGTCATCCACTGTGTATTGTGTAAATTCACGCTCAGCTAGATCACTGTAAAACGCGTATGGTTTGCAGAGGAAGTAAGAGCAGGATATATTTCTATGCGAGCTGCATTTTTCGATGGAAAGCTGCAGATTTGTATACCAGGAGGATAAGACAAGGCAGTGGAATGGAGAGACGGCAAACGGACGCGTAATTTTTCAAGTGCCAGATGCCGAAAACGTGTCTGTCATGTGTTTGTGTTACTAATGAGATAGATTTGTATTTAAATCCAAAAAAGTATTGAATAAATATCCATGCAGAGGCTTGCTGTTTTCGCCGATAATTTTTTTGGTTTTTACATAAATCACGCAGCAAAAAAAGGATGAAGGCACCAATAAAGGAAATGTATTCCACCCTAATCCAATGCGCAATCAACACAAGCGACCAGATGAGCAACTTGACACACTTCATCAAAATGTCATTCACAACATCTCCATAAACAACTGGAACAGATTCCCAAGGCGATGCGATTCGACCATTTCTTAAGCATCAGAATGTGGCCCCAGAAAAAAAAAGTTGTAATACGCACAAACTAGCCAACCAGCTACTTAATACTAGCCAAACATCTGACCATAACCAATTAACCACTATTACTAGTCATCGCTGACTAAACAACGAGCCAACCAGCCACTAGCATTAGCCCTCCACGAACAAAACCACCACTTGTGCAACCCTGCCTGTTGTGACCGTAACTCTTCCCTTAAATGAACCTCTGCCAACTTCACCGGTCCCATTTAAATTTTTTGTCCGACACTTCAGTTTTGCTATTCGTGCCACCATCATGTATTTTGTTACGTTGTATCTTGTAGTAATAATAGTTTTTTAATGCTTAATTACGTGCTTAAGTTTGATTATGAGATCACCAAAACCAATAAGCCCCAGAGCTCTGCTCCCCCCCCCCATTGGCATTGATGTCGGGTGCGCAGGCAATGCGATTGTATCGTGACCCACGTGTGGCAAGGGCTTCAGGTGCCAGTCTTAAGAGGACGGTGGACATGGGGGGGCCCATTTAATTCCTCACCAAACACGCTACGCCAATACAACTGAAATATATAACTGCATCGAGTATCTTCTATTCGTACTCCAATAGTCTGTTGTGAAAATTGCTCGTTCTTTCGCTATTTCCCAAACCCGCACTGTATCGGTTGCTCTTGATGTCAAAAAAGGTAATAATTATTTTATCCCCGCCCTGCAAGATGAACCACACACGCTCAATGGGATATTTGGCTTTATTAGCATTTGCTCTGAAGCTGTTTGCCACCCAATATGCAAAGCAGAGGCCTCTTCAACGCCGCCCACGCACGACATTAATATTTTACAAACGTGGCCATCTCCGCAGTGAGCCATCCTGCAGGTGGTGCATCCCATTAACCCCCGTCACGCGTAAATGCTCCCCGCTGTCGCGTTGCGGTCTTTAACATCGTGCTGTGGAGTGCCTTGAAGGCATGGCAACGAGTCCCGCTTCCAACATCGTTGCCAAGATCATGCAAGCGCGCAGACAATATCGGCATTGTGTTTATACGAAGCAGTGGCCGATGGTTACCGTTGCGTGCGTGCGTGTGTGTGTTTGTTTGCAATGAAAAAATTGTGTTTTGCGGAGAGGCAGCGTCCGAGAGCGTCACGGTGCGCCAAGATCTATCCACCGCTGCGTGAAAGTCTCGTCAAGCCATCACCATCTCTCGAGGTCCTGCGAAGAACGTGTACGTGTACATCCCCACGATGCGCTTTCCTCTGGCTGCCACTCCGCGACTGGTCTCGGACGCTGCCGCCTTTCGCACTTGCGGTTGGCTAAGGACGGTGCAGAAAAAGTTCAACATACCGAACATGAATACTTCTCGTGACGTTTCCTGCTCTCAAGCCCGCTTACTTTTACCGTGTTCCTAACTTTGCGTATGTTCTCCAATCCGTCTATTCTTCTTTCTGTCATCGCCCAGGAACCAATACCACTAAAAAAATTAATCAAAAATACAAACAATTTCAGCAGCTTTGTCAATTCATTGCTGGATGTCAGGGTTCCCCAAAGTGTGTTGGCCGTGGGGGGGGTTGTTAGACCATACTTCACCACGCTGGGCAGTGTCCAGGACCGGCTTGGATATCGCTTGCCAACTGATATTGGCCTTAGCCAGGTTTCAAGCTCTTACAGCAGAAGATGTAGCTTGGTCTGCGAGAATGTTGCCAGCGTCAGGTTAACTCGTAGACGAGAGTCAAGCTTGCGTGTTGGTATTTAAAATCGATGACATTTTGATTGAACCCGGTTCTGACAGGGGGAGACGAAAACAAGAACATTTAGAATGGAAAACAGAAAGAGTCGAAGCAACGTGTGGGTGGGTTGGCAACTTGCAGCCTGGAGAAGAAAACCACGCTTCATCCAACAGCAGACAAGGTAATGTGCTGATGATTTTGTTGAACCGAGTCGAGGAACTTTCTGGAAAGTGGCCTTTCTTTTTATTTAACACTGCCCAGCAACTTCACGCGGCACGGGACAGGCTGCAACTTCCGTTTGTACCCAACCCGAGCGTCACCGTGACCGTACAAGTGCTCTTCGAGCTGCACTGGCTTCCGATTGCCGAACGAATACCTCGTTATCAGATCGCGCAAAGTGCTCGGAAGGACGACCCGCCGAAGTGGATGTCACAGAGCTTCCTGCCGAGGTCCCTTTGAGTGATCAATCTGCGGTCCACTCACAGTAATGGGGCGCCACTTTCCCCACCTGCTCAGCCCAACAGAGTAAAATGGTCCATCGCATGACGTTCAAACCGATATATAATTTTAAATTCTCTGTGAGAATTTAGCCAAATGAAGTGCCAGAACCAATGGGTTTTTGTGTGGGTGTGTGTGCATTCATTGGTGACCAGCACCGACCCAATGAAGTGAGAACACGATTTTACGACGGGAGGCTTTCCTGGAGGTCAGACCCAGGAGCTGAGGGGTAACGGCCTCGGTGCTTCTGACCTTTGAGTCACACGGCCGCCTCCTCTCGTGCGCTGCCTCCTGACGTTCGCGGCTTCAAAGGACGCGATGCTGTGCAGCGCCGTGTTCCCCCGGCCACCCACGACAAACTGGCTCGGGCATTGAGGCGAGCGAGTCCGTTCTGGTGAACTTTGCTGCTTAGCTGAATGCACGTGGTGGTGTCGTGGCCCAGCCTCTCCGGGTTACTTTGATCAGTCGGTGTTTGACCATACTCTTTGTTTTTTTTTCGGTAAAGTCACGTAGGTAAAAAATTAAAATAAAATAAATCGCGACGTTTCGGGCGCAACACAAGCATCCTTCTTCAGGTGGGGACAACTTAGCGAAAGCACACCGCTTAAGTGTGCACACACAACTTAGCGAAAGCACACCGCTTAAGTGTGTCGCGCCCGAAACGTCGTGATTTTATTTATTTTAATTTTTTTACCTACGTGACTTCACCGAAAAAAGCAGTATGAATCCTTGCAGTCACGAAAACTTCAAATCTAGAATACGGTGTTTGACCGCTGAGGGCGTAACGCAAGGCTGTAATTATAATATATATTGGGGGGGTGACACAAATATTCAAATATGCTCAACATGCCCCCCCCCCCCCAATATATTGCTATAAAATAAATTTCTGTTTATATGATTGTGGTTATGGTTGTACTTTATTAATCCCTAATCTCTGCCATTACATACAATGAAACAAGAAAAGGTAAAAAAAGAAATACAAAGCAATGTAATACAATGCACTATTAGCATTATTGTAAAAAAAAAATCCATCCTATGTGTTCGTGATTTAAAAAAATATTTTAGGCAGGAAATTCGTTTTCAAATTTGGATTTTTTTTCTAGGGGGGGGGGCCCCCACATCCCCTGGAAGATTTGGTCCCCCCCAATGTTGACTCCATGGCTACGGCCTTGGCGTAACGGATTTATGTTTTACCCCCCCCCCCATTCCTCTCGCTGTGTGTCCCTCTGTAGCGTCGCCGTTCCGCTGCGATGCGCATTGATGCCTTCTTCATTGAGGGCCATATTTGCACGTAAAATAAAGATCGATTGATCTATAGCACTGGCGTTTATGGTAGCTCCTGCACATGTTTCTATCTACGGTCCACTGTGGCTTCAAGAGTTTCCCCGGCACGAAAACTGCGGCAAAGTTGAGCTTTGTTAAGTATTTAATTACCAGCTCTCGCTCTCTTTTTTTTCCAACCTCACCCATGCTGTGGCTGTGCCCTTCCCACAGAAATGTCAAGAATGGCTCCATAAAGCGGCACTAATTAGGGGGACCCACAGCTGATGCACCACCGCTCCTCAGTGAGGCGTCGAATTTGTATTCATCCCCTTTCGGGATGGGTCTTCGGACATCAAAGTGTGACATTTTGGGCGATGGTTAATCGCGCGTTGGCTTGCATTCGCTGTGCTCGTTACGTCTTCTTACCTCGCCGTGTGCATCCTCCATCTCGGCGTCCTTCCCGGAATCCCTCATCGCCTCCAAGCTTGTGCTGCTGCTGCTGCTCCTTCACCTCGGTGTCAGGAGGCAGTATTCTCAAACACTGCTGGCCACGAGCTCGTCACGCCTGACGCCTCCCTTCAGTTTAACGTGGAGTAGGTTTCCGCGAACAATATCATCCATCAAGGTTTTTTTTTTTTGGGGGGGGGGGAGTTAGATCGTGTAAATATATAAATGTGTCGTTAAAGCCGCCACCACCCGACACAGCCAATTAGCAAGGTTTGTCACGTAAACAAAACACGCAAATTCGTTACTAGTACAGCAACACCGGTGTGTTGGAGAGCAAAGCCACAACATTTCCAATCTCTATTCTTAGATTTTTTTTCGGTAAAGTCACGTAGGTAAAACAATTTAAATTAATATAAGTTAAATAAAAAATAAAATAAAAATCACAACGTTTCGGAGGCAACACAAGCTTCCGTCTTCAGGTGGAACCGTCACAGCACGATTGCTGTCACAGACGGTTCCACCTGAAGACGGAAGCTTGTGTTGCCTCCGAAACGTCGTGATTTTTATTTTATTTTTATATTACTTTTATTAATTTTTATATTTTTACCTACGTGACTTTACCGAAAAGAACCTAACAATATGAATCCTTGCAGTCACCAAAACTTCAAATCTAGAATTTATAATCTGAGTACGACGTTTCGACAGTAATTACAACTAGCTTCATCGACCAACGCCGCAGCGACTCCACTCAGAAGGGTTCCGCGGTCTTGACAGACGCGTGGCAGGCGACACAGACACGGGGTGAGACTGACAAAAGAGAGCCGTGGACAAGTCACAGATGAGAGAGATATT